CCCTTTTGTGAATAACTAAAGCCTCAACCACAAAACAAGGCATTTTCTAATAATCCCAAATATATTAGACCACACGAATCTGGGCGAATTATAAAAGTTTAACCCACACACGCAATGAGGCAGCTTTCCTGCTGGTGGTGCTACACAAAAAACAAATACCCTTAAATAGTTCCTACGTGTTGTCAAGAAGCCCAAAGGAATAATGAGAATCTATTGTAAAGCGGTGAAGAACAACTTATTTTAGTTAACTCAATTTTATGAGTCAGACAACCAGACCATACCAGACCCGCAACAACACAACTGAAAACATATTTTAGAATTTATGAAAACTCAGAGCATTTATGACAGACAGGCTACTAAACGGCTTACAACGAACTGCGCACACAAAAAAATTATCATAACAACAGCAACAATTGACTAGGAGTTTGGCACTGCAGACTTCATTTTTTCTTCAAATTTTTTTGTAAAACGTTGACTGTCTAGCAGACAGGCGGACGGACGGACAGACAATTTTCCACAGACCCCAAACATAAACAGAAAACAAATTTGTTTTTTTTCAAAATCTCTTTTTTTCTTTTTTGTTCAAATGTGTTTTGTTAACACTTTTTCTTTTGTTCAAACTTAAACTACCAACGATCATCGTCATGGCGATGATGATGACGATGAGAAGGATGTTCAGTGGAAGCAAATCTGTTTATTGTTGTTGTTTTTGTTTTTGTTATTTTTGTTCTTTATTTTCGTTTTCTTTATAAATCAACTGTAAGACAACACTTCCACCAACCATCCATCCAGACAAGTCTCAACAATGTCTGGCAGACGCATGCGTGACATGAATACAAAATGACAGCTGTTTCCACCTTTTTTACTTCGTCGTCTTCTGCTGATCATTCAGAACTCAGGTTCACTTTTTTACTGCTAGCAAAAAATTACAACAACAACAATAATAATAATAAAATTAATGTTAAGAGTAAAACTCCAAACACGCATCATTCGGGTAAATTCTAAACAGGAATGCCGTTGTTGTTATTTGGAAATGAATGAAACCCCTCCCCCTTTAAAAATTACGAATAATAATCATAACAAGGGAAAAATCAACACAGATGACTATTTTCTGACCCTACACCATGAACGACATTCATCCTCATAAAGCTTCTGATTAGGATGTTGTTGAACAACATCGACAGTATTCATAACATGAGATATTTGCGGTCAGTTATCTTTTAAATAATTTACATAAAACCTGGGAAAGTTCAATGCATCAAAGTGTCATATGTGCTTCCATGAGTAACTCAATTCGAATTATCTAAGACCAAACAAAATGAATTAATTAACAAAAGTGACCCCAAGTTTATAGGACTTGCCGTATGAAATTCGAGGATCTTTTTCATATGGCAAGTCCTATAAATGCTTCTTCGGATAACACATTAAGATGAGAAATAGCGATATACCTTTAAGATGTTTTAACTTGAAAACAAAAGTACGACACCATGTACTAGAACAGTCTCCATTTTCGAATTTTCAAAATAGGTCCATATTTTGGCACAGTCTGCATAAAATGATCCTAACCAAATTTCATGCTTAGATAGGTTGTAAATTTATAGTGATGTTCGAAGGGGACACACTTTCTTACAAAAAAATATCCAATATATGTTCACTATATGGCATATATTTTATCAAGACATTGAAATCTTCTTTGTAGTAATATTTGTAGCTATACCATTTTTTACACAGCTCCAATGTAACCACTCTAATTTTGACATGTTTGGTTACGCGTATTTATTTCGGTCTATTGAAATCACCATAGAGGTCGCAATATTTAAGAAAGAGCTCTCAAATTTAGCAAGGACATTGCTAGTACTTCAGGGATGTCTGGTATCTCATATGGGATATATCGGTCCACGGCATCCCCTAACATTCGGTTTTTGTGAATTTTTGACATGTTTTTAAACCAAATTGGTTGTAATTTAATATTTTGGGTTATCATTGTATAGCACATCTCTGTACTAAAAATTAGTAATATCAACCCAAGTTTCGGGATAGCCCCCATATATCGGTTCCACCAATAATCAGTATTTTAAGGATTTTGGACACGTTTTAAATCGAATTTGGTTGTAAATTGATATTTTGTATCCACATTGGGTGTCACATCTAACTACCAAAAATGATTAATATTGACCCAAAATTCAGGGTAGCCCCCATATAATGGCACCCCTCAATATTCAGTATTTTTTGGGATTTGGACACGATTTTCAATCACCTTGACTAATATTTTGTATTTTTCGTTTCTTGTATAGCACATCCTTGTACTACAAATTATTAATATTGACCCAAGTTTGAGGGTAGCCCCCATATAACGGTGCCCCCACATTTTCGTACTAAAAACCAGTAAGGAAAGTAGTAAAGTCGGACTGGGACGACTATATGATACCCTTCACCACTTTGGGTATATCCTACATATGTATACTAAAAGACGACGCGTTTTTTGTTATATATCTATATCTGTACCGATTTCAGGGAAACTTGTCAGATACTAATTTATATTACTCCAGTACGTTGTGTCAATCGGCCAGCTATGGATCTTTTCACGAAGCTTAGCAACATCATCCTAGACTTAATTCAGTACCCTGTACCAAAATTCGTGCAAATCGAAAGATATATAGGGACTTTGGTGCACCAATTACATAAGATCGGTCGAAAATATATATAGGCGCTATATCTATATACCGATTTTCACGAAACTTAGCACACGTAATTCTAGCCTTAATTCACTACGCTATGACAATTTTCGTGCAAATCGAATGATTTTCAGAGACATTGGTGCACCAATTACCTAAAATCGGAAGCAAATGCATATGGGAGCTATATCTAAATCTGATCCGATTTTCACGAAACTTTACACACATCATTCTATACTTAATTTAGTACGCTATGCCAAATATATGGGAGCTATATCTAAATCTTAACCAATTTTTCCCAATTTCAATAGGGTTCGTCCTTGGGCCAAACAAATGAGTTGTGCCAAATTTCATTCAATGCGGATCATAAATGCGACCTGTACTTTGTTTACAATTTAACATCTACAGACGGACGAACATGCATAAATCAACTCAGAAAGTGATTCTATTCATATTGTCAATAGGAACCATAGGTCTATCTCGATTATTTTTGCCTGTTACAAACATATGCTCAAAGACATAATACCCTGTACCACAGTGTGGTGAAGGGTATGATTATTAATATTTAACCATGTCGATATTTTGGGAATTGGTTTTCAAATCGCACTACATAAAATTGTCAATTTCGACCCCTTTTTGGTATAGTCGTATATAACAGTAGCCACACTTTTAGGTATTTTGAGAATTTAAATTATCTTTTTCTCACGATTTCAGTATATTCAACATACGTGGCAAATAATTTACATACATGGCACACTTCACCGCTTATCATGATGATCGGTTCGTATAATTTTAAATTTTCAACCAAACTCACAATATTTGTCCGATTTGGACAAAGTTTCGCATAGCGTATTGAAATTGGAGAAGGTTGAAATCGGTTCATATTTAGATATATAAACATTATAAACTCTTATTAGCTAAGTTTCGGAGATAATAAATAAGAAAATTCGGTCAGACCGTTGGCGCTATGTCAAAACATTGAACATTTCGCCAAAAATATATTTTCCAAATATAGTCGAATACACTTATATGAACAACGGTTATAACGAACTTTTTCCTGGTCTCGACGTTTTAAGGCATAGTATTCATACAAATCTTTACTCTTAAAGCGAACTACAAACTCCAAGAACACAGAATGCCAAAATACAGGCACTTCGATGGGATTCTGCTGAAAGAAAATTTTAGATCTTGAGAGATAAAAAAATGTTCTGCAAATGTGTGTTTTTCACCCCAAGAACAGAGGATTAACAAAACGAAAATGTGTCTAAACCTTCAAAGTAACGACAGCAAAGAAATATGATTTTAGGAAGACGATATATGTTTCTAAAACCAAGAATTTCCTGAAACCCTCAAAATACCGAAATTTGGGCGTTCCCATATAATGGTAAAACACCAACCTATATCGAAATTGTTCTGCAAAAATGTTTTGACCTTACAAGAATCCGTAATGCGAAATCACAGCCTCTTCGGAGAAAAAATGCTGCCCAAACTTTCTAAAACCGACAAAGGGGATTTACCTGTGTAAGAGTACTATACAAAAAAGGGGAGTGAGAAATTTAAAATTAGAACATATTCCATTGAAAACACTGGAAATTTGGGGGTACGGATATATGGGGGCTATACTTAAACGTGGACTAAAATTATTAATTTTTAGTAGGAAGGTTTTATATCCAACGGGAGCCTAAAATACGTAATAACAGCCAATTCGATTTAAAAACGTCCTTAAAATCCCAAAATACTGAATATAGGGGCGAAAAAGAACTACAAAAGCATGCCATAGAAAAAGAGTATATTTTATAACCAATTTTGCTCATTCGATTTGACTGCAGACATCTCATTAAAAAACGAAATATCCGCTAACAAAGATGTAAAGCTTTTTTCAGGAGTTACCAGCAACATCTATAGGGAATTTGTCCTTCTGGGTTCGTAATATACTCGCCAGTGGCTTCTATCCCCATTATGACTTTTCCACATGCAAAAATTTTGCTCAGTGTTATCACACCTTTTTGTGCAATAATTTCTTTGATTTGTATATCTTACTTCTGTAATACGAATACAATACCCTGTATCGCATATGTAATAATGTAGGGTATACAATTCCAATTTATTGAGGTGCATAATAAAATTAAACACAAATAAAATTTTAATTTAAAATATTTTTTATTTAATTTTTTTCTTCTTACTAACTTGATATTTTTGATTGTTTTCATTATTTCATTTGTGTGAAATTTTATTTCATTTTATATTCATTTCATTTCATTATTAATATTTGTATTCTTGTTTTCTTCTCTCTTTTCATTTTTTTCTCTCTTCGACGAACGACAGGTGACCGACACAAATGACAATCCACCGGCATTTGATGTGCCCGTTTATTCATTTGATATACCAGAGAACGCCCCACGTGGTTATCAAGTTGGCATCATAACTGCCACAGATCCAGATTTGGGCAACAATGCTGTGGTCACTTACACTGTCATCTCAGAATGGGCCAATGATGTATTCAGTTTGAATCCGCAAACGGGCGTTCTGACGTTAACAGCCCGTTTGGATTATGAAGAGGTAAGTGTTTTGGAGAATGATGAGTTTGAATTATTTCTTTTTTTCGTTTCGTTTATTTTAAAAAAGATTGGAATGTGAAAAAGGGGAAAGGGGGATATTCACGAAATATTGTTGTCGAGTCATTGTGTTTACACAATTTTAAAAGAGCTACGGAATTTGTGTGATTGAAGTGATTTAATTTCTTGGCAACATATTTAACGAGAATACCACCTTTCTAAATAATTTTCTATACATATATATATATATATATATATATATGCAAATAAAATTCTAAAATAAACCCACCCAATTACATTTTTTATTAATTATTTATTTATTGGCTTTTTTTAATTTTATTACCTCCCCGTTCTTTGTAGATACAACATTACATTTTGCTTGTCCAAGCACAGGATAATGGCCAGCCAAGTCTATCCAATGCCATAACGGTGTACTGTAATGTTATGGACCTGAACGATAATCCGCCAGTATTTGATCCCATAAGCTATTCAATGGAGATTTATGAGAATGTTTCAATTGGAACACCTGTTGTGACGGTAATGGCCACAGATATTGATTCAGGTATGTATTTTTTTTTTAATTTTTTATTATGATCCATGACCACAAATACATCTTCTCGAAGAGAATAGGATTTTTTGGTGTGTTATGGATGGGCGATTGCATTTTATTTATAGTTTGCAAAATGTCAAAGAAGAGGAAGAAATTATGATTTGCTTTTACACACATATAACCAAGCGAGTAATGGAATTTTACATAGGATGCTTTGTGTTAATATGAAGTCCTTTATTTATGAGCTATTATTTTTGTTGTTGTAGTTACGATTCAATACAATGTAAGCAAGTTTTGAAAGATAGAAGATTTTAGTTTTTGATGTATGCCGTCGTCTGAAATTCCACAGAACATTTGGTCATAACCAAATGGCCAAATTGTTTGATTTGACCATTTGTGATAATCGTAATTCGAATGAAAAATAGTAAAAGTTGTTTTGAGGTCATCGTTGACAAATATTTATGTTTTAAGGTCATTTGAATCCAGAATAATTTGGAAGAGTCAACAAGAAATAAAACAAACAAGTGGTAGAGAAAAATATGCAGCCGGGACAAACTCGTAATATCCTCCAACATGAGGTATACAACCAAACATATATACCCATGCAGATTTGCTACACAATGACAATTAAAAACCCAAATTGCAGTCTACTCGGTTTAAAATGTGTCCATACCCCCTAAAGTACCGTTAAATAGCGCTACAGTAAAATTGGTAGAAAATTTGGTACCCTTTTTCAATTAAAAAAGCTAAACTACAGCCAATTATGTTGAAGAACATACATAAACTCCCCAAAATGCCGAATAGTGGAGAGCCATCATAAAATGTCGCCCGATGTCAATCATTTTTGTTAGGGAGATTTGCGAATTAAAAATATAAAAGTTTTTACAAAATACTAAGATTTTTAGATCCACATTATTTTAAGCTAAAATTTATTTCTTACTCCGTATAACTCCGTTAAGTCGTAGAAGTATTTTGGGGATGCAAATTTCCTCCGGAAATGTAATACCCTTGGCGACTATAATAGGAACCCAGAAGATCAAATTCGCAATAAAAAATGCACAATATTTATTACTAGTGATCCTGTATAAAGACAAAACAAGTATGAAAAGTTCAAAAGTTGGACGGGACTGACTAATGATACCCTTCACCACTTTGGGCACATAGAAGAGGTGCTCATATGTACAATATCATGACGGTAGAAAAAAGAAATCAAACGTAATTAAATATGTGATCTATACCAATTACAACCAACCACACTGAAGTCTATGAAAAATTGCATGTCAATCGGACAGGGGGCAATTAACGACGAAGATATATAAGGATTATATCTACGTCTGAACATATTATACAACATCCATTACTCGTCATTCTGAACCGATTTCAATAAAACTTAACACACGTCGTTCTACACTTAATTTATTACGCTGTGCCTCTTCGGATAAAAATAAATGTGGGAGTTATATCTAAATCTGAACCGATTTCAAAAAAATTTAACACGCTTCGTTCTAGATTCAATTAAAATCGCTGTGCAGAATTTCGTATAAGTAGAAAAAAATTTTGTTTCATTCAGATAATCCTTGGGAACTATATCTTAATTTGACGATTTGATTTTCACCGATTTCAATAAGGGTTGTCCTTGAGCCAAATAAATGACCTCTGCAAATTCCGTCCAAATCTGATCATTAATTCAACCTGTACTTTAATGACAAGAATACATGGACAAAGGGACATGCATAACTCGACTCAGAAAGTTATTCTATGCATATTCTCAAAAGGAACCATTGGTCTATTTCGTTTCCTTTTGCTTGTTATGAACAAAGGTATAATACCCTGTACCACAGAGTGTTGAAGGGTGTAAAAAGACCTACTTCGACTTATTATTTTTACGATATTCCGGTCCTGAAAGGAAATCTAATTGCGTATATACCAAGATTTTGGGGGAAGAATACTACATCCTTGGTGAGTACAATATGAACGCTTGAACACAATTTCGCAATAGAAAATTTGCAATATTTTTTTTTTTTTTTTTTTTGGTGGTTACTCCAAAAATGTGGCTCATCGAAATATCCGTTTCCATTAACAAATGTCCGTCTGTCCATCCGCTTGTCGGTCTGTCTCTGTGGTGCGCACGATATCTCTCGAAAAGACTAACCGATTTCATTGTAATATTTCTCGAAACTCTCAACATCAAAGATGGGAAATGTAGGTTAACTTCTTCTGGTATCTTATCCACAAAGGTGTCAACATGTGGCTGAACAATAATTTTATAATATCATGCGAACACTTTCGTGTTATATTTATGTCTGCCCATGAGAGGTCACATTTATGATCCGTATAAGATGGAAATTGGTAAAGCTTATTTATTTGGCCCAACGATAGTAGTATAGTTTCCATACATATTTTCGAACGATTTAATTTAAATACGCACCAAATATGAGCTGAAATGTGGCACAGCGTCCCAATAATACGAAAATACGAGTATTATAATACAATTTCGTGCATATACAGCACAACATAGCGTTTGTTTGATTGATAGAAATTTTAGTTCATCGCGCTATGATCAGTCCAAATTCATATATAGCCTTCACTTCCAGTTTTGGGCCCTAAGTCTGTCTGATTGACATAACATTTGTACTTTCCTTACAACTTTGTTAATTTTTTTGTCTAATAATCGTTCTGAATCTTCAATCTGTTGAAGAGATGCAAATACAATCAGACTAAACAATTATCCATGTATCATATTGAATTGAATACGATTGCGATATACGATAAGAAGATGAAATCTGAAAAATCAAAACAGTTCCCAGAAATTTTTTATTTTTTTATAAAGGAAACTTAAATGTTAAAGATTTTTACTTTCGTTAAACCATTATGCTACTATTATGACCATCATGATTTCTCCTCTTAACTATTAAGTTTTCTTAACAACATTTCTAAATCATTGATCTTTTTTCCATCGAGAACAACAACAATAAAGAAATTCAATTCAATCATCAGCATAAAACTTGATCTCGCCATTAAAAATCATTAAAGAAAAAGTAGCTCACAACCTTAGTATGAGATTAGGTTGGTTAGATGGCTGGCTGGATGATTG